GCTAGCCCAGAATCTACCACACTTCAGTTAAAAAAAAAAAAGGGCAAGAGTAGCAATCATGATCCCAGACAAAGCAATAGCAAAAATAGACCTAATTAAATGAGATAAACAAAGAAACTATGTTTTGCTGAAAGGTAGCATAGATACTAAATAAATATCAATATTAAACATATATGTACCAAATGGTATAACATCTAAATTCTTACAGAAAATCTAAATGAGTTACAGGAAGAAATAGTAATATAATGGAGGAGAACCTCAATTTATTCCTCTTAGACTTAGATAAACCTATCCAACACTTTTAAAAAAATGAAACCAAAAAACCTTAATAGAGTTTTAGAAAAGTTAGATCGATAAAACTGTAGAATACTGAATGGGAATAGAAAAGAGTACACCTATGTCTTTTCTGTGCATGACACCTTCACAAAAAATTGTACTAGGGCATAAAAACCTTATAAATAGATGCAGAAAAATAATATGTATCTTTTGCCAACCAAAATGCAATAAAATTACACTCAATAAAGACCTTTCTGGCAAAGATTAAAAATTAAGTGTAAAACAAAGTAACCTAATTCTGAAGAATGTGTGGGTCAAAGAACAAATCAGAAACAACTTCATTAAATATAATGACAACACTGAGACAATACAGCAAATTTGTTGGGATGTAACCAAAATGTTACTTAGGGAAAAATTTGTATCTCTAGTCATTATCATCAATAAAAGAAAGAGCAGATTAATAAACTGGGTTTACAACTAAAAAAAAGCCTAGAAATCTAACAAATTAAAAAGCTCCAAATAAACATCAAAATAGAAAGCCTAAAAATAAAAGGATAGATTAACAAAATTCAAAGAAAAAAACCAATGAATTAATAAAATTAGATTTTTGAAAAAAAAAGGTAGCCATTAGCTAATTTAGTTTTTTTTTTAAGAAAGGGAAAAGCAATTATTAGTATTAAAAAAGATAAATTCCCAGGACCAGATGTAATGATACAAGTAAATTGTTTCAAACATTTAAAGAACAGAACTACATAATACAACATATACAATAATTCTAGATAAGCTGTTTTAAAAAGTTAGGGGGAAAAGGGATGCTACCAAATTTCTTCTATGACACAAATATGGCCTTGATACCTAAACCAGGGAAAGTAAAATAGAAAAAGATAACTAACGACCAATGTCCTTAATGAGTACTGAAGAAAAAAATTTAGATAAAATATTAGAAAAGACACTATAGCAATGTATCACAAAGAATACACTATGACCAGGCTGGATTCATTTTACTAAGAATGGCAAAATGACCAGTAATGCAGGTATTTTTTGATATTGAGAAAACTGTAAATGTCATTGATCATATTAGTAACAAAAAGTATAAAAATGTTTTTCTACCTATATATGCAGAAAATGCTTTTGACAAGATACAATACCCATTTCTGATAAAAAAAAAACATCAGAAAGCATAGGAATAAATGAGGTTTTCCTTAAAATGATATAGTGTCTATCTAAAAACAAGAACCATCAATAATCCGTAATGATGATAAACTTGAAACCATTCTAGTAAGACTGGGGATAAAGCAAAGATGTCCATTACTAACATTACTATTATATATAGTACTAAAATGCCAGCTATAGCAATAAGACAAGAAAAGGAAATTGAAGGAATATGCATAGAGAAAGAGGAAACAAAATTATCACTTCTTGCAGGTGATATGATGGTTTATTTAGAAAATTCTAGTGAAATAAAACTAATTCAAACAATTAACAACTTCAACAAAGTTGAAGAATATAAAATAAACTGACACTAGTCATCTGTATTTCTATATAGTATCAACAAAATATAGCAGGAAGAGATAGAGAAATTCCATTTAGAATAACTACAGAAAATATAAAAGATTTGGAGGTAGGTTTACCTGTCAAGACATATGTAGGAACTATGTAAACACAATTACAAAACACTTTATACAAATAAAGACAGATCTAAACAATTGGAGAAATAATAATTATTTATCAGTGGGCCAAGACAACATAATAGAAATTACAACGCTACCTGAATTATTTTACTTGTTCAGTGACATACCAATCAAACTACCAAAGAATTGCTTTATAGAGCTAGAAAAAATAGCAACAAAATTCATCTAGATGACTGAGAATATGAAGGAAATTAGTTTTAAAAAGTTGGAAGGAAGAGGTCCTAGCAGTACCAGATCTCCAACTATACTACCAAGTAATAGGTGTCAAAATACAACAGTACTGGGTAAGAAATGGGGAGGTTGATCAATAGATTAGGTACGCAATATACAGAAGCAAATGAATACAATAGAGTAGCATGAGATAAACCTGAAGGTTCCAGTTATGGGGCAAGAACTCACTATTTCACAAAAACCAGTTTTCCCATACTGGGAAGCAGACTGGCAGAAACTAGGTACAGACCAATATTTCACACCATCAATCAGGATAAGCTCCAAAGGGGGATGTGACTCACACATCAAGAGTCATATCATAAACAATTAGGGGAGCATGGAAGAAATTACCTCTAGATCTATGAATGAAGGGAGAGTTCATGACTAAAGAGACAGAGAGGCTCATGGTATAAAACGGACAATTTTCATTATATAAAATTTAAAACTTTTTGTACAAATAAAATCAACGTTTCTAAAATTAGAAATTTTGGGGGAAAATATCTTTGTAGCAAGTTTCTCTGATAAAGGTCTCATTACCTGTATAGGGAACTGATTTGAATTTATAAGAATAAGAGCCATTGCCCAACTGATAAATGATCAAAGAATATGAGTAGGTAATTTTCAGAGGAAGAAATCTAAGCTATCAATAGCTATATTAAAAAATGTTTGAAATCACTATTAGAGAAATGCAAATGAAAACAAATCAAGGTACTACCTCACACCATTAGACAAAGTTGACCAAAAAGAAAGAAAGAAAGAAAGAAAATGACATGCTAGAGGATATGGGGAAATAGACACACTAATACATCATTGGTGGAGCTGTGAACTGGTCTAGCCATTCTGGAAAGCAATTTGGAACTATGCCCCCAAACTATTAAACTGTGCATACCCTTTGACCCAGTGATACCATTACTAAATATAAATTCCCAAAGAGATCAAAGAAACAGGTGATGGATTCATATGTACAAAAATATTTATAATAGCTCTTTTTGTGGTGACAAAGAAACTGAGAAGATGTCCATCAACTGGGGAATGACTGAACAAGTTATGATAGATGAATGTGATGGAACACTATTGTGCTATAAGAAATGATGAAGGGATGGTTTCAGAGAAGCCTGGGAAGATTTGTAGAACTGATGCAGAGTGAAGCGAGCGGAACCAGGGGACAATTTATACAATAAAAATGATATTGTGAAGACAAACAACTTTGAAAAACTTGGGAACTCTGAACGACATAATGACCAATCACAAATCTGGAGGACCTCTCACGAAACACACTACGCACCTCTGGATGGAGAGCTTCTGGACTCAGGTTGCAGGCTGAGGCATATATCCTTTTGTACGTCACTAATGAAGTAATCACATGCCCCCAGGACAGTGCAACACCAAGCCCAGGACCAGGCTGCAGACACACATCAAAGCAGAGCTCCCTATGTTCCTGAGGTGATGTCCTTGCATCCACTGCTATAAGGATTAGATACCTAATCAATGCTCAGGTGCCTGAGGGTGGGGTTAGGGGTTAGCTTCAAGGATCCTCTACATGTATTTAGCACAACCCAACCCAACCACGCAATCACTGAAATGAATGAGTAGCCTCATCCTTCTCCCATCTAGGCCTCCTCTTCTGTCCAATGGCCATCTTAGCTCTTCTATGACTGCCTCTGCTCTTCCCTTCAAGGATGTCCCTGGTATTCCCATTAACCTGTTTTGCCTTGGACAAAAATGTTTGTATGCATGTGTGTGAGTGTGTGCTGACTTTTCTTCTTCTCATGCAACCCTAAAAAAAGCCCTGGGCCTCCCCACCTCAGACCATACTCCAAGGATGGTGCTGAAGCCCACCCTGGCACCCCTCCCCAGGAGGCTAGCCCTACCTGCTCAAGGGTCAGCCTGGGCCCCATAATGAGGTAAAGAGGACCCAACTTGTCTTGGGTAGGGCAGTGTCTACCCTAAGAGTCTGGAGTCAGAGAAAACAAGATTCCACGGTTCTCAGTCATTCTAGATCCAAGGGTGGCACTGAGTCCTCAGAGTCATTGTGGCCAGCCCCATGGTTTGTGGACAGCAGACCTCTGCCCTCTGGGCTGTCAGCCACTGGCCAAAACATACACACACACACACACACACACACATACACACACACACACACACACACCTGCCCTGCCTTTTACACACAGATAGACACTGTCCCACTACAGACGACAACCAGGTCAAGCAGGATAGATCATAGTTTGAATCCGAGAAATTTTCCCTTGTAACTGTCCCTGGAAAATTCAGCCATGGCCCTAGACTGTACTAACATGCTACAAAGATGGCTCCAGCAGAAACGCCCACTGCCTCTACCAACTAGCGCCTTGCCATGAACCAGGGATAGTGGTGCTGTGACCTCTGGCTGCCTGTCACTTGCAAGGAAAGGTTTCCCTGGTCACAAATAAAAAGCAGGTGAGCTCCTGTCCCAGGCTTCCCTTGCCCTAGGAGAGGGAGTGAGATACCATGGGGGAGGGTCCAAAGGAAAGCTGGGGGCACTAATGGAGAGGGGCACACCAGGCACACGGCCCCTCAGCTAGGATGCGGGAAGCAAGCAGACCGCCAAGACGCATCATTTATACTATACAGAATCATCCCAGGCGGGACCTCGAGACACGCGGGGGTGTCTTCTCTCTCACCGCGCTGGGGAAAACAGCCACAACAACAAGATGGGAAACCTCGATTCCCCCTCGGGCCTCAATCTGAGACACAGGGTCCTCCCTGCCTCTGCAGAGCAGCACTTGGCACCTGGCCACGAAAAACAAACTGAGACAACAGGAGACGCTGAGTCTTGGCTCCTACCTTGTCTTCCACCCTGTTCAGCCGGGCTCCAATCGTGTTATTCCCTCGGTCTTTATTCTTCTCTGGAGAAAGAGAGAGACATGATGATCCGGGTGAACAACACAGGCACATCTAAGCACAGTTTGGCATCGAACTGATGCCCCCTGGGGACGATAAGGGGGTCTAGGCCTGGCTCTCCTACAGCCTTCGGGCAACTTTGCCCTCTATGGATCTCAGTTTCCCGAGGTGTAGAGCAATGGGGTCAGTCAGATGTTCTCTGAGATTCTCCAAAAGCCTCAGGCAGAGCGCTCAGCTCTGGTACACTAGTCATTAAAATCAATGAGTTCTTGCTCCTCTTATAAACCCCTGACATATACAATGTGACTCAGAGAAACAATGTTGCCATTTTAAAGTCATCTTCTGTTTCTCCATGAAAGTCATCCACCGTTGCTCCATGATTCATGGTCTATTTTCTTTGTAAGCATCTCTATCAACCACATTTACTTCCCTACAATTTCCTCTATGCCCAGACTTCACATTGCATTACTAAAAAACCAGGACTAAATAAAAATTTAGTAACTAGATCTCATTTCAAAGATATTAGGGCCTTACTACCTAAAATTAGGGTCCTTAATCTTTTGTGTGTGTGTGTGTGTGTGTGTGTGTGTGTCCTTGATCTTCTTTGGCAGCCTGGTGAAGCCCATGGACCCCTTCTCAGAAGGGTGTTTTTAACTTATTGTATAAAATGAAATAGTTACAACATGTTAAAAACAAAATAAAACAAAAACAAAAACAACCAAATTCACTGACCACAGATTAAGAACCTCTGATTTAAAGGAACTCCATAATGAAACCTTTCTTTTGTAAAATGATTATCCCTTCCCCTCTAATTCATCCTTTATTTAAATCTTGAGTTTGGTTTTACTTAAATAGGAGTCCTCCTTTACAGGCCTCCCTTTTCACTTCCTGCCCCAATTTAACAGGACTTCATTAGTACAGTAATGAGGAGCATAGCAGCATTTGAGAGGTTGCTCCCCATACTAGAACACCCCCTAAGGTTGCGGCCACATCTATGGCTCAACTGGACCTATGGTCTCCAGTCTGCTGGAGGTGAGTGGAAGGTACAGAAGAACTTTACCTGAGACTGAGATGAAAAGAGAAGGCTTTCCTATTGACTGGTCTAGCCTGTAAAGAAAAAGAGAGAGTCTGTTAGGACCAGCTGAGTCACCCCAAGGGTCAGAGCTGAGCCCAGGGCAGGGCACACACTTGAAATGCTCAGAAGCTTCCAAAATGCTCTGAAATAAAGCATCAGAATAGCCTGGATTTGGGCCTCAGCACTTGGCAGGCTCTCAGAAGTGGCCTCTTGACCTGGGCCTGTAGGCAAGGGAGATCCCAGACATCAGGCCCAATCAGAGAAAAGTGCCGGGTGTTTCCAAGAAGTGTCAGAGAAGACTCCATCAACAGGAGGCTCAGCCTGGGAGTCTGAACCTCAGAGTAACTTCCTCGTGCCCAGCACTGGCTCTGCCCAGGTTCCATTCCTTTCCTAGCTAGCCTGACTCTCCAAGGAGGCTCCGGTCCCAATAGAGACTGAGTAATGTGGGTATATCCTTAAAAACATCTCCGATTACAAACCCAGGTTTGACGCCGACCAGGTTTGGGGAAAAGGTGTCCTACATGTGGGCCACTGCAGGTCTACCCTTGCTTCCAAGGGGACTAACACCCAGTCAGCAGGTTAGCACTCTTGCTTTGGGGAGCGGGGAGATGCTACTGGAGGGAATGAGGAGCTCTGGGTAACTGCACCCAGTAAGCAGTCAGGACTTGTCTTGGGAGTGGCTCCTTAACCTTTTCGCCAATGAGGCCTGGCCCAGCTGCTGCTGCTGGCCTTGTCCTGTCTGCCTGCTCTATTTGGGGTTTCAGAAGGTAGGAGCAGTTGGAGATTTGCTGATAGCCTTTGTCCTCCATCCAGCTGCCATGTCTCTGCTAACATGCCCCCAGCTAGAGAGGGCAGATCAATAACACGTATTACCATTTACCACGTCCCAGGAGGAGGCACGAGGTGGATTTTGTAGGAAAGCTTCCCACTTGGGAGAGAGCAGCTTCCCTGCCCAGCATCAACATCACTGCACCACTGAACCAGAGGCCCATGTGGGATTAATCAATGCAAACCAACAAACATTTATTAGGTGTCCACTACATGCCAGGCACTCTGCTAAATGCTGGGGATACACAAAGAGGCAAAAGACAGTCCCTTTCCTCAAGGAGCTCACAATTTAACATGGCAGACGTGTTTAGGGATTGGGAAACAGAATATGCCCAGCAGCTTCCCTCAGGAGCTCAGACTGAACAGGGGCCCAGAGCTAAGCAATGTGCAGACAGTGTGGGTGAGTGTGCTCTCGTGTGTGTGGTGGAGGGGCCCATCTGATGAAACACACTCAAGACAGGTTTGTCCTCTGCTCTGCTTTGAGCAAAACCCAGCAAAGTCCAGGTACTCCAGAGCTGACTCAAGGGGCACAGGCATGGTGCGATGTGAACTCCAGGAGGGCAGGGACTGGTTCATTTCTGTTCATTTGTGTCTCTCACCCCCAGCACTGCTGCCTGAGACATGGGCAGCACTTGGTACACTTGCTGAATGAATGGATAAATGAATGGGATGGATGGATGGGATGGATGGACGGACAGACGACGACGGACGGATGGATGGATGGATGGATGGATGGATGGATGGATGGACGGATGGATGGATGGATGGATGGATGGATGGACCAGCCCTAGCTGCCTCAGAACTCTCATGGGTGAGGAGAGGCTGGGCAAGGAGACTTCACTGGGCTGACTGACACCAGGTGTGGGTAGAAGGAGACATTCAGCTGGGCAGCAGACCCTGTGTGGATTGTGGGTGGGGTTATTGGGGAGCAGGAGAGGAGGGAGCCTGAGCCAGAGACCTTGGCCTCTGTAATGGGAAGATGAGGTGGTTAACCTCTTAAGGGAAAGTCAGGGGCAAGGGGCCATTGCTTCAGACCCCTTTGACCAGCAGCCCACAGTGGTAGCATGGGTGGAGGTGAGCTTGCTGTGGTATACACGGCACCCTGGGCCTGGCTCCAAGGCATGTTTCAGGATCTTGGCCAGGTAGGGACCCCCAGCCAAGGATCTGGAATCCATCTTGATGAAGGTGCTCAGCCCCTTCCCACAGCCTGGCTGCCCCATCCTGGGCCCCTGCAGGTGACTGGGCAAGGGGCAGTCTTCCCAGGCTCCTGCTGCCCCCGGAGCAACCAGGCCCAGCCCAAGGTCTCCACTCGGCTGGGTACCTTCTCTGGAGCTCCTTGATGCGCACCATCAGGTTGAGATGACCTTGAGAGTATTGCTCAATGACATCGCGGACATCATAAGGCTTCCTGGCTTGCTGTAGGACAACAGGAAGGGAAAACAGGAGATCATTGAGCCAGGTCCCCCATTATCTTTTTTTTTTTTTGCTTTCTGGTAAGGCAATCAGGGTTAAGTGATTTGCCCAGGGTCACACAGCTAGTAAGTGTCAAGTATCTGAGGCTGGATTTGAACTCAGCTCTTCCTGACTCCAAGGCTGGAGCCCTATCCACTGTGCCACCTAGCTGCCTCGCCTCTATTATCTTTGTGACAAGTCAGCCCATCAGGTGTGCATGCATAGGGAAGCTGTGTGTATATGTCTGTCTGTGTCTGTGTGCATGGACCCGTGCGGGTGTGTGGCTAGGTGTGTGTGCACGGCTGGTGTGTAGCTGATCACACAGGGCATAGCCTATGGAATCTCAGCCCTGTAAGGGACTTTGGGCTCCAGTGCATCCCACCCTCTCCTTTTATGGGGGAGGGAACAGAGCCCCAGAGAAGGGAAGGAACCTGCCTAAGGTCACACAGCTTGTGAGTGATGGGTGGGCCTGGAGCCCAGGGCTCCTGACCAGTGCATTTCCTCTAGCCCTGGTCCCAAGTCACCAGCGTCATCCTATCCAGAGATTCTGTCTTTTACCCACTGGATTCACAGGCTGCTCACTTTCTTGTTGGGGGGACCTTCGGCCCCATTGTGCCCAGCGCCCCTCCTGGCACAAGGGAGTAGCCCAGAGGGGCAGGGACTTGTTCAAGGTCACATGAGGAGCAGATACAAGGCGAGGTGAGAAAAGGCCTCCACTTCTAAGCCTTGTAAGGGTCTCCTCTTTCTCATCGGTAGAATGGGTATAATCTCTGTGTTCCTGATTCGGAGGATCATCGTGAGGGGCCAATAAACTCACAGGGAGGTAGGCAGGCCAGATACCACCCCATTTGAGAGCTAGGGAAACTGAGGTCCCGAGAGGGCTGCGTGGCTAGGATCTGGATCTTCCAACTCCTCTTCCTGTCATTCCACACCTCAAGGCTGTCCCCATGGGCCCAGTTAGGCCAAAGCTTTCTGTCTCTACAAGGTCCCTTGCCTGCAAGGGCCACTTGGGTGGGCCAGGGACCCAGGCTTTAGAGCTGGGAGGGACCCTTACACTTACCTACTTCATGGCAGGATTCAGTTTGAGTTATAACCAAGAGGGAGCCTTGGTTGGAGGGGAATGGGGAGACTGACTTGGAGCCAGGAAGACCTGAATTCAAATCCTGCCTAAGTGACTGGGTGAGTCAGAGCTTCTCTGGGCCCCTCTGCAAACTGAGGGAGCTGGTCCCTGGAGCTCTCACCTGGGACCCTGTGTCCCTCCCTGGAGATTCAAAGGGAGGGGGCTGGGGATGCCAGGAGGGCTTGGCTGGGATGTCTTTGAGGGCTCTTCCATCCTGGGGACCCTGGGGTTCTATGTGTGGAGCTTCCCTTCTCTTGGTTCTATTCCTGTTCTAGAGGATTCCACCCAAGTCGGAAGCCACTTGGTATGGTCTGGGCTCAGATAGGAGGGCCAGGAAAGGGAGGGCCTTGCTTGGAGTCCACATGGCGAAGGTCTGTGTGATGAGGGAGGGGGGCCACACAGCCCTGTCCCTGCAGCCACCCCCCACTCCCCCTTCCTCCCTCCCCAGTCCCTGATGCCCTTCTCAGCTTGCTCTCAGGGTTGAGACTTCTCTGAGAGGCTGCCCTGAGGCTGGGGTAGGGGGAAGCTCATGCCCTCAAGGGGCCCATCACTGAGGGGAGCCAGGCTGGGAGTCACAGACCTCCACGACATTCCATTGCCCCAGTCCTCAGCTCTCCCCCCAAAAGCTGTCCTGGCCTTAGAGTCAGGAGGGCCCAGGAGGGCACCCAGTGGGTCCTATTACTGTGCCTGGTTTTCACAGCCTCCTCTCCCTGGGAATTTCAAAGGTCTTCAGAGACCTTCGGTCATTGGCCCATCTGACCTCCCTAGACCATCATTGGAGCCCATGGAACTCTGCTCGGCTGAGGGCTCCTCCCCAGGGACAGAAGCCACATGTTTGCTGACCTTGCTAAGGCCAGACTTGGGCAGAGCCCCTCCTTTACTGGGAAGCCTTCCCTTCCTGCGCCCCTGACCAGAGCAGCTCCAGAGGCTAGGGTTCTGCATGAGCAGCCAGGAGATCCTGAGTTCAGATCCCACCTCAGCCCCTTCTAACCGAGTGACCTTGGCCTAGTCACTTCCCTTCCCTCGCCTCAGAATTGCTCCAGGGATGCCCTGGGACTCCAGTGAGATGTGCAGAATGTCCCAGACACAGATGGGCTCAGGCTGTCACCGGCTGGGCCCAAACCTCCCTCTGTTTTTTATGTCCAGTGTCTCTTCCTCCCTCCCAGTGGGCTCTGTGCAGGCTGGAGCCTCACCTCGCTCCTGTCTGAATGGCCAAAGTGCCCAGCACAGGGCCTGGACTGGGGCTGGGAGGGACTCAGGCTGGCCACATCCTGAGGCAGGAGGGAGCCGCCCTAGGCCACAGCCATGAAAGCCCTGAGACCTTTTCAGAAGCATTACACCTGGCCTTGGCCTGGCGCCGTTAAATCCCCCTCGCCCATGGGAAAAGTGTCAGAGGCTTGGCAGCCTCTGGGGCAGGCAGTGCAAGGCAAGGGCTGTCATCCCCCTTTTATAGATGGGAAAACTGAGGCACCCAGCAGGAAGCGACTCCCTGAGGTTCCCACAGCTAGGATGCCAAGCTGAAGAGCCCAGAGCAGCCTTGGGTTTCTGCCTGATGACCACTATGAGGTGGGAGATAAAGATGGCAGGTGTCTAGCCAAGGGACACAGAGCGAGAGAGAGAGAGAGAGAGAGAGAGAGAGAGAGAGAGAGAGAGAGAGACAGACAGACAGACAGACAGACAGAAAGAGACAGAGAGACAGACAGAGAGATGAGAATGGAGTGTCCACAGGGCACCCCAGGAAGTTTGGGGGGGAGGTTGATGCTGGTCAAAGAAGGCAGAGGAGCACAGGCCCCTGCAGACAGCCCCAGGCAGCCTGGCAGCTGCCCCCTGGAGGCCCTGCCAACTTGCTCAGCCTCCCCCAGGTCTGGGAGGGGGGTGCTTTTGCTGCAGAGGCCCCACGGCATGGGGGGGGTGTCTCTGTTTCCTCCCAGGCCTTCTCAGATGCTTCCTGAGATAATGACATCCCCTCCAGCAGACACCAAGGCACAAGCCAAATTCAAGGCCTCGACTCCACCCCCCACCCCCCAGTCAGAGTTTCTCTGGTCTTCCAGGATGGGCACCATCCATAAAGGAAGGAGGTGGCAGAAAAGGCCTTAGGGTCAGTTGGGTGGCTTTCTTCATTGGACAGAGAGGGAAACTGAGTCAAGAGAAAGGAAGGGACTGATCCAAGGTTGTCTTTAAGTAAGTCTGTGCAGGGCAGATGAGGACCTTGTTCTGATTCCTTTGTCAGAGGCCTGGGAAGAGACCTTAGAAGTAATCAGATCCTCCCTCCTTCTTCCCAGGAGAAACAGTCTCAGAAAAGGGATAAGGCTTGCTTAAAATCACGGGTGCCCTAGGAACAGAAGGCCCAGGGCGGAGTCTTGACTTCCTATCCCTGGATCCTTAGGCAAAGACACACCGCCTACCCTTTGGAGTCTCAGTTTCCTCATCTGTAAAATGGGGATGCCAAGCCTTGTCCCGGCCAGGTCCTGGTGGGGAAAGTCCTTGCTTCCTCCCTGATATACATACAGAAAGCCCGAGGGGGCAGTCCACGCTCTGGCGGAGGGATTTCGGCTTGCTGCAACCCACCCTCCGGCAGACAAGCAGAGCCCCACAGCCCGGAATTAATGAAGACATATGGGAAGGCCGGCCTCGCGGGGAGCAGGCGAAGATAGCAGGGGCCAAGGGTCCAGTCCATTAGCAGAAAATAACATTGTAACTGAGCGGGCCGCCGGGATTGGGGGTGGGGGGAGCCGCGCTCATTCGGCCGGTAGCGCTCCTCTCCCCCACCACAGAAGGGGAGTCCCTAGTGGCCCAAGGGATGAACCCAGGGACTCCCTTTGCAGAGGCGGAGTGAATCCTCGGGTGTCCAAATCAAGCTGCAGGGGAGGGGCAGAGGAGGGGCAGAGGAGGAGCAGGGGAGGGGCAGAGGAGGGGGAGGGGAGGGGAGGGGCGGGGAGGAGCAAGGAAAGGGGCCCCACCCATCCCATCCTCGCAGGTCCCACTCACCTGGAATTTCTTCTTGGCCACGAAATACTGCATGCGCCGGAGAACCTTAATGGTGGCCCGGTGATGTTCTCGCAGCCTGGGAAAGAGGGAAAGGAGAGCCCCGTGAGGCTGGTGAAGGAGGCGTCCCCCTCCTTCCATAAGGGGGGGCAGCGGACAAGCTAGGTGGGAGGTGGCTGAGGGGTCTGCCGCGGCATTTCCCAAAGGTCAAGGGCAGGGTCCTGCCAGGAAGGAGGAGGTCTCACGTTGCGTACCTGTGTGTTACTTTGGGTAAGGTGCATGAGACCTCTGCCCCCGAGGCTGTCACGTACACTGCTGGCCCAGGCTGAGTGCCTATAATCCTAGGGGCACACCCGGCTGGCTCCACTAACCTCCCCCCGCCCCAAAGCCCCAGATTCCTCCCCTTCCATGGAGGAACCCTGGCCCAGACAACAAGAGCCATTCCCTGGAGCCTGGTGAAGGGAAAAGTAAGGCAGAGCCAGTAATGTGAGGGAGGGGGAGGATCCCAGCTCCTGGGTGTAAGCCCCTCAGCACCTGACCTTTCCTGTCCAGTTCCCAAAACAGCTCCGTGCCAAACCACTGGCCCCCACTTGTATCCTTCAGCATGAGACTCAGGTAGGAAATGAGAGCAAAGGTATTGATTACTGACCCATGCTACAGACTGGAAAACTGAGGCATTGGGAAGGAAGAGTGGGTGAAACCACAACCAGGAGTAAGCAAAGCAGGAGTAAAACCTGGTCTGGTCTAGAGGGAGACAGGAAGCCTAGAAAAGATGATTTCCACCCATCGATTTAGCCCTAGAAGCAGCTTCACCAGTCATCTAGTCTGACCCCTCTCAGCAGATGAGGAAACTGAGGCAGAGAGAGCTCCCCTTCAGAGGAAGTAAGAGACAGAGTTGGGATTCAAACCCCCATCTCCCACCTCCATGCCTTTGTGCTGCCTGTTTCTCCCCTTCCTGGAACCTTGCTTCTTCATCTGTGTTTCTTAGCAAGTCTCCTGTAGGTGACCTCACCTAGTCCTCTCTCTCCAGTTCGCCTCCCACCGCAGGTGCTAGAACTTCCCTCTCCCGCTGGTACGTATGTACACACATCTCCCCCAAAAGACTGGGAGATTTTTAAAGGCAAGGACCCAAATTCTCACCTTTCTTGGATCCCCAGTGCTTGGATAGCACTGTATCTGCTACACAGTGGGCTCAATAAATGCTTACTGCTGATTGAATTCCCTAGCTGGAAGCAACCTTCAAGGTCCTCTAGTTCAAGCCCCCATTTTACAGATGAGGAAACTGAGGCAAACAGGACGAAGTGACTTGGCCAGGGCCACACAGCTAGTAAGCGTCTGAGGCCACATTTGAACTCAGGTCTTCCTGACTCCAGGTCCAGCTCTCTGTTGGCCCACCTAGCTGCTCTCCCCCACTTCTCCCCCCTCTCTGTTTCTCTCTGTCTTCTCTCTCCTCTCTTCCTCTGTCTCTTTCTCTTCCTTCTCTTTTTCTCTCTTTTTATCTTTCTCACTCTGTTTTTTCTCCTTCTCTTTCTGTCTCCTTTCTCCCCTCTTCCTCTCGCTCTTCCTCCCTCTCTTTCTCTTCCTCTTTCTTCTCTCTTTCTCCTTCTCTCTCTTCTCTCTCTTCCTCTCTCTCTTTCTCCCTCTCTGTTTCTCTCTCCCTTCCTCTCTCTCTTCCTTTCTCTCTCTCTCTCTCTCTCTCTCTCTCTCTCTCTCTCTCTCTCTCTCTGTTTTTTCTTTCTTTCTCTGTCTCCTCTCTTCTCTTCCTCTTTCCCTCTCTTTCTCTCTTCCTCTCTTTTTTATTTCTCCCTGTTTTCTCTCTTTCTGTCTCCTCTCTCCTCCTCTTCCTCTCTCTCCCTGTTTTTTCTCTCTGTTTCTGTCTCTTTTCTCCTCCTCTTCCTCTGTCTCACTCTCTTTCTCACTTCCTCTTTTTATTTCTCTCTTTCTCCCTCTCTGTTTCTGTCTCCTCTCTCCCCTTCTTCCTCTCTCTCTTTTTTATCTTTCTCCCTCTGTTTTTTCCTCTCTCTTTCTGTTTCTGTCTCCTCTCTTCCTCTCTCCCTTTCTTTCTCTCTTCCTCTCTTTTTTCTCTCTCTCTTTCTCCCTCTCTGGTTTCTGTTTCTGTCTCCTCTCTCCCCCTCTTCCTCTCTCTCTTCCTCTTTTTTATCTCTCTCTTTCTCCCTCTGTGTTTTCTCTTTCTCTTTCTCCCTGTTTCTCCCACCCTCCCTCTCTCTACACATACATATTCATGTTACATCTCCCTCAATAGAGTGTAAGCTCCCTGAGGGCAGGACGTTTCTTGTCTTTGCATCTGCAACGCCTGGCATAGGACCTGGAACACAGCCGGGGTTCAGTAAGTGCCTATCCATTGGCAGATGATTTAGTCACAGCTGTGAGTGACAGCTCCAGGATCTGAGCTCGGGCCCCTGTCCTTGGCCCACACGCGTCCCCAGCTGAGATGGGCCTAGTGGCTGTCACAGAGGGAGAGCCGCAGTGCAGGGTCTGGGGGGAGGAGCACAGTAGCGTTCCCGTTTCTCAGCTTTTGAAGCCCGGAAGGGCGCCCGTGGAGGGGGCGACGTCAGAACCCACCGGCTTCTACCGCCAAGGAAGGCATTCTTCCCAAAAGGCGGCCCTCTGATGTTGCCCCAGTGAGAACGCCTGTTCTTCGGCCAGCTCATTGCCCTCCTCCCCTCGGTCGCCCTCAAAAAGTCCCAACCAACAAGCACTTGTGAAGAGCCAAGCCTGAGCCCTGCCTTCAAGGAGCTTACTCTCCAGGAGGATGGAGGAGACAGGACGTGGACATCAGAGCACGCAAGACGGATGCGGAGGAGGTGGAGGCTCAGCAGAGGCGTTGGCCCAAGCAGCTGGGGAGCCGGGCAGGAAAGGAGGAATCCTGGGACTCTAGAAGTAGGTGAGGAGGGAGGGCATTCCAGACATGGGGGACAGTCAGGGCAAAGGCACGGAGGCTGGAGCTTAGATGAGTGGGGCTGGACCACAGAGCGTGTGGAGGGGAATAGGCTGGAGGAAGATCGGTGAGGTGAAAGGGGACCAAGCTGTGAATAAAGAACTTGATATTTGATCCTGGACGTGATAGGGAGCCAAGAGAGATCCCTGAGCGAGGGGGAGGGGTCAGCTGTACATGAATTCCCCCAGTCAGCCAGCTCCTAGCCCAGGCTGAGCCCCCAGTCCCTGAGCCAGGCAGGCCCATACCTGGGAAACCAGGACACAGAACCCCATTGCTAAGGGGCAAGCCGGGGCTACTCCTTCCTTCCTCTGTTGGAAGAGCACCGAGCAGAGCAGAGCCGCAGGCCTCCAGAGCACCCCCCCCTCCAGATCCCCAGACCCCTGAAAGGCTCCCTCCCTCCAGAGCCCCTGGCTTCTGAGAGTCCCTCCTCTGCCCTCCAAAGCCCCCAGACCCCCGAGAGTCCCCACCCACCCTCCAATCCCTCCAGAGCCCCCGGCCCCCCCAGAGCCCCCAAGCCCCTGAGAACCCCACGCCCTCCAGAGCCCCGGGCCCCTGAGAGTTCCTTCCCTGCCCTCCAAAGCCCCCAGGCTCCTGAGAGTCCCCTCACCCTGTAGAGCCTCCAGACCCCTGAGAGCCACCTTCCAGAGCCCCCTCACCCTCCAGAGTCCTCAACCCCCCTCCCTCCAGAGCCCCCAGGCTCCTGAGCAGCCGTCCCACCAGGGAGTCCGGATATAGGAACTTAGCCACTCTGATAAACACCCGCACGCAGCGCACGCAGCTGAGATTCCGTGCCGGGCTCCGTTATTTATACAACGGCTGGGTAAGTGAGCCCCAAATCCATTAGATCTTTTCAAGAAACACCCCGAAGCTGAAGTATGTGTTAGCCTGGTATAGAACAGATGTTCCCCATCCCCTGACAGGCCGTCTGCCTCTCCTTGTTTATAGGCGTGCTAACTCCACAGGGCTGGGGGCTCACAGAGACCTCTGGCTGTGCCGGGTCCTTCCCCTCCCTGGCCGGGCCGGCTCCCGCCTTCCTCAGCTCACCCGGCGTCGCCTCCCCACCTGCCCCAACAAAAAGCGGCCCCTCGCCCGGGGCAGATCCAGGTGCTGCCCCCGTGACCGAGAGCCACCTGGGGTCAGAGCCATGCCAGAAGAGGCTGGTGGCCATTCGAGAAAGGGGCCGTGTACACTGGGCCCTAAGCCCCTAACGCTGAGTCCCACCGGGTTAGGTCATCTGCACTGGCCTCACCTTCCTCAGGGAGTCAGAGGGGAGGGTGTCTCCTCTGGAAAGGGAGCTTGGGTCAGCAGGCCTTCTGTGGACAAAAGGGAACTGAACCTAACCGACTTCCTATGGGAAATGCAAAGATCACCTGATGCCACGTGATCCCCTAGCCCCGTGGGCATTCTCGTCCCCATTTTACAGATAAGAAAACTGATCCTTGGAGGTGAAGTAATTTATCTCTGGTCACACTTAGAGGCAGGATTTGAACCCAAGTTTTCCTGACTCCAAGCCCAGAACTTATTCCACTTCCCCACTCTATAGACTGGCCTTCATTTCTGATGAGAAAGGGTAGCGTCCCCTGAGCTGAGCTACCCGTTCCCTCTTGCTTACCAGGTAGCTTTTTCTGCCTGGCTCTGTGTGTGCCCATTTTAAAGATGAGAACATTTTCTAGTGCCATAAGTTAGAAATGAGCTGCTGGGCTGGCAATGGGAGACATCAGGAAGCCAATGCCTCAGAAAGAGACAACATGGTCCCCAAAGCGGGAGGAGGTTTTACCAATCCAGAGCAAAGGAGAGAGTCCAAGGGCAGGGAGCGGGGTCCCTCAGTGAGGGCAAAACCTGTGCCTCCTGCCCCAAGACTGCCCGGGTCGCCCTGGGCTGGGCCCTGGACTCTGGGCCTTACCATCCTCATATATAAAGTAGAGACCCGAAGCCATGCCCTTTGGGCCTACCTCCTGGGTCACTAAGACAATGGACAGAGAGAAGTCTGCTTGGGGCTTTGGAAAGTGTCAGGGGACAAGGAGGGCAAAGCCAGACAGTGAGATGGCTGCCAGCACTGCAGGTCAGCTTTGCACCGAGAGTCCCCTGGCTGAGGAGGGGACAGGGCAGGCAGACTTCCC